TGAGGCGTGATCGTCCAACGCGAGGTGGGGGTGTGTTGCTCTATTATCATAACAGCTTGCAATGCGAGCAATTTGAGTGCCCGGTCGCTGCTTCATATACGTTAAGGTGTAAATTGAAGCTAACACAACATGATATCGGGCTGATCGGTGTAGTTTATCGCTCTCCTTCGTTAGCGGATTCATCAAATGAGACTTTGTTGCCAACAATGTCTTACTTCCTGTCATTGGATTTCACCCACGTTCTTGTTATGGGTGACTTCAACTGTCCAGAGCTGAGCAACGTGACTACATCACGTACGCCATTTGAACGACAGTTGAAGCAGTTCATCCAGTCACATCTGTTGTACAATCATGTGAAGGAACCCACCAAGTTTGGAACCAACCAAATTTCGTCAACTTTAGATCTAGTACTGACAAATGAAGAATTGATGGTCGAATCAATTGCAATCGCAACTCCGTTGGGGCGCCGTGATCACGCTGTAGTGTTGTTCGAATACGTTTGCTATGCATCAGTAATAACAGCTTCTTCGGATCGCTTTCGCAGCACAGTTTACTATGCAGAACTAAATAACCTGGCTCATTGAATCCAGTGGATCTTCCCTGATATAGGCTGCAATCCGCTGGAATCCTGGAGGAAATTTACTAACAGCATCACAACATTGGTGGCTGCTGTTACAACCGTCAAGCGTCTATGCCAATCGACTGTTCGAAAATCAGAAATTCGCAGTCGAACTAGGAAATGGATAATGCAAAGGGACTATCTTTGGAGGCAGTTCAAACGCTGTCCATACCTCAGCACTTGGGAAGCATACAGGCTCCTTCGAAATCATTGTACGAATTTGGTACGGGAAGACAAGCACAATTATCATGATATGCTGACGAGGAAGTTTATCGCAAACCCTAAGCTATTATATAAGCATATATACCACTCCCAGAAAGTCTAACACGGCGTTCCGATACTAAACTCAGCAGGTCGTGTTTCAGCGACAACGGGGTTCCACAGGGATCTGTACTAGGCCCACGTTGTTTCCTTGCCTTCATAAATGATCTTCCAGACATCCTCGGACCACAAACTCTACTGTTTACGGACGATGCCAGAATATGGGAGACAATGACAAAACCAGAAGATTCATTTTATCTCCAGAACGCCCTTGACGAAGCCCACAGATGATCTGCCTCCAATGATATGGAATTCAACGTTACCAAATGTAAAGTTTTATCACTACGTCACAATGGTCGTTATTCCTATACTCTCGGACACGAAACTCTGCCTCATGCTCCATCCGAGAAGGATCTGGGAGTAGTCATTCGCGCAGACTTAAGTTGCTCCACAAACTGTTCCACGGCATCATCCATGGCGGTAAAACAGGTTGGACTGCTCAAACA